GCAGGGTGGGGGGAGGTGCCGAGCACATAATTCGTCAGGTAATTACGCCCCCCCCTCCCTCCCTCCCAAGCAGAGCTAAAGCTCATGCTGAAGCAGAGCTTCAGCTTAGACTTCTGAAACTCACACGCCGGATCGGCGGATGAAAAAAAAAACCGGGCCTTCAGTCCCAGGCAACTCGATTGCCCTCGGAGCCTGTTCGTCGGCGGTGCACTGCGAAAAAGACCCCCTCCTTTTTCTTTGCCAGGCTATGGGGGCGCATTCGGCCCGCATCCCCCCCCCTTTTTGTTTCCTCTCCCTCCTCCCCCCCCCCCTCGGCCTCCTCGCCCCCCCCCTCTCTCCTCCCTCTTCTTCTCCCTCCTCCGCCCGCCCTCCCTTTTTTTTTTTTTTTTCTTCTTCTCCTCTCCCTCCGCCCCCCCCCTTCGGCTTCCTCGCCCCCCTCTCTCTGATCCTCTCTCCCCCCCCCTCCTCGACCTCCTCCTCGGTGCCGGTCGTCGGCCAGGCCTCCGGGAGCGTGGCTTTCCCTCGGGGGGTCTGCACTGCCGCCGAAACCATTCCCTCGACACCACCAGCGTGGTGGGCCACCAGGGCAGCGCATCCAAGAGGGGCCGTGTGCTGACAGTCTCCGAGACGCTCGAACGCAGTGGCTCCTGCTACGGTGGCGACGAATTTCGGATGTGGCAAACGTCGTCGTATCGCTCAATTTGGCGGGAGAGGCTGGCCGACCGTGCGACAGCTTTAGAACGCCGTCAGCTTCACCGTCGCCAGAGATCAACGACTTTCGAGCTGCACTGTCAGCAATCCCACGTGCTGCACCGCACCCAAGCCTCTTGGCCATCCCGTCGTTTAGGCACCGTGACCTGCTGTATTTGGACTTCCGCAATCCAGACTCCCCGTGTGCCGACACGTTGGCGGAAATTGAGCGTCAGGACGATTGCTGGGGCATGTGAATGGTTTTGTCTCCAAGTTCTTGATCGCTTTCTTACTTTTGCCTTTGTCCCAACTTCGTGCGTGTACAGGCATTGGGAAGCCTGAAGGTTTCCATCCAGTACGGTTCGAGTTTCTTCAACCAGCTGAATGTCTCCCTGAGATTGGTTCGGCACAGGCTTTCACCCAGAAGAGTCTCTCATCCATACCTCGCCTCCGACCCGAGCACAAGTTCGCCGTGGTAGTCGAACACAGCTGATCTCTCCATTATGCTCCAATGGCATTGGTAGCGCTGTCCTGCGTTCTACATAATGTCGGCCATTTTGCATAATGTGACGGATTCTTCTGACGGGCCCAAGCCATTGAGTGTTCCAGGGTCAGCATCTCTTCTCACCGATTGCAGACCTGTTGATGGTACCAACACTTTCTCGTCTCCATAAATCTATACTGGTTTTACCAGTCCCATCGCAGACTCGTCAGGTTCTACGCGTACTACCAATGAAGTGGCCCAAGGCGTCCAAGCATTTGAATTCAGGCAGCCGCATCTTACACATGGCGATGAAAGCCTCGTGCACCGACATAATGCATGGTGAGGTTGAATTACAGGCGCCATTCTACACACTTTTCATCGCAGCTGGCTCCTATGTGGGTAAGACAGACATCAAGAGATCAGGGATATCTGGTGTGATTGGCCGTCTTTCGAATAATCGCAGATGTCTCCTATGCCGTCCTGTTAAGATGACTTGTGACCTCGGTGTGTGATTCTTCGATGCAGTCTTGGCGTCCCTACGAGGCGATAGTGATCCGCGGGCTCCAGCCCAGTGGTAACCAGGCTGACGCGTCACAATATGCAAAGCATATGGTTCTGCATGGTTATCCACTCCTTGATGACCATCGCCATCGCTGACGCCCTCTTCGACGACCGCCTCGATGGAGGCGCATTCGTCTTTCGCAGGTCTCAATGTCCCCGTGGCTTCAAGTAGTTCAAAACGGGGCGCCTCCCCCGAGGGTTTTTCGGCTCAGCAGCGAGCTGTGGCGGGCCTGCCCCCAGGATCTCTTTCATATTGTGCGCCTTTCTCTACCCTCTACGTCCTCCAGCAGCGGTGGCATCTCGCCGACGCGGGCTAGCTTGGCCTCCTGCGGATTTAGGAGCGTTCCAGAGTGGGCCTGTTCCTGGCATGGCTGGCCCGACCACATCAACGTGCACTGGTATCTCTATGGGGCATCAGATAGTTTGCATGCTTCTTTGTATGGGATGCATTCGCAGCGCCAGATCTCCTCAGGCGTTTGGAGGCATCCAGGGTGGTCGCGCTCTCAGGAAGTGATCGCGGAGTGTGTTATGCTGGTCAACGCTTGGGCCAACGTATGCGGATCCACCCTGTTCATGTTCGGCGGGCTCTTCGACGACTTCGCAGAGTGGTATTTCCGATGGGATGGGCCCATGGCGCGTTCTTCTTTATATCCGATCTCATCCTCTCCGACTTCGTGGCAACCGGTATCCGTACTGGGTGAGCCGCCCGCCTGTTCGGCGGCCATCCAGCAGGCGTTGGCCACAGCGATAAAGTGATCCAAGGGTGCCACAGTCGTGGCTGATGAGGAAACTGCACATTGTGGTGGGTTGTATGTGGGCCAGACATGTCCAGATACGTCCTCCAGTCCATCTCAGACATCCGGTCTGGCGACGCTGGTCGGATTTGTCAGGGGAGTATATTTGTGTTTCGTCCTGTGCTCACCGCTCACCCTCCGGATCTTCGCCTCCGGCTCCTGTCCCAGGCTTTCCTTTTCCTGTGCGAGCTCTTCGGCGCCGCCTGCGCCCCGGCCCGCCCTCTGGCCGCCTGAGGCCCCGCCCGCCTGTGCTCGCTCTGTCTCCCCAATTAGAGCTTTTCGTAGCCCGCCTAGCTTTGGGCCGGGAGAGGTTCGCTCTCGACCCGCAGACCAAAAATTGTGTTTCGTCCTGTGCCCGCGCGGTTTCTGCCCTCCCGGCCTGGCTCCGATGCCCGTCTCAATTCCAGGCGCTCGCATCGCAAGCTTGCCCGGCCTCCCGTGGTCGCCCCGTGGCTCCAATCCAAGTGCTCCTCCGTGGACGACCTTCGCCTCTGTGGGAGTGTGGCGCGTAGCTGTTGCAGGGGGTCATTGACGCATCGGGGTCCTTGGGGGCTATCGGCTCCGAAACCAATGGTCGGGTTGCGAGAAGCTTCCTCAAGTGGTCTGGTGCAAGCTGCTCACTTTTTCGGCGTCCGCGAGGCAGCAGATCCTGTGCTGCCCCGCTGTCTCCGTCTCCTTGCCTCCCCATCTCTCGGTGTTTTCGATGTGGCCATTTCCTCAGGTCGGCGTCGTCGCGCGCGACGCTGGCCAGGCGTATGAGCAGTGCAGCGCGAGTGCCATTTCATTTGCGTGGTCCCGCTTGTCATCCGCCATCTCCGATGCTGTTTCGTCGCAGGGATGCTTTGTCAGGAAACGGCAGAGGGCGAATGTCGGCCCATCGGTGAAGTCGTCATATTCGGAGTCGTCGGATCCAGTGGGCTGCTGCCGAAACATGGCGCTGCATACGGCACGTGCTCTCTCTGTGTCTACAGTTGGGTTTCCCTGGTGAGTGCTGTCGAGGTTATTTTCGATGTGAAAAGGGCCTACCTATCGGTGGTGTGCTCTCAGGGGTGGCTGTGAGTGACCCACTGTGTTGTCAGGGGTCCGTGCTAGGCAAGATCAATCAAGGTGTGTGCGCGCAGGGTTCCCCGAGATACCTGGTGATGCTCCGCGTAGAGTGGCGATGCGTCGGCATGCGTGTGATATGCTAGGAATGAGCATTTCGTTTTCCAGACAATGTGCCGAGTAGTTTCAACGCAACATGCGACGTTAAAGACTGAGAGTCGGGATTGGATGCGTGATTCGACGAGACCAAGCTTGCGTGCAACATTGTTGCCCTTCGTGGGGGCGTCGCCTCGAGGCCTCGCTGGCCCGCGCGGCTTGTTCGCGGGTCTTTGAGGGCGCGTTCGATGACATTTGCCGCCGCGTGCAGTCTGGCGGTTCGAGGGGCTCGACGGGGCTTCCACGCCCGGCGCCTTGCTCTCCGCGGGCTGTCCGATCCTGGCACGGGCGGGCCGCCTCCTCGCCGCGACGGTGGCTGGGGCCGCGGCGGCGGCGAGGGGCGCGGCCAAGGCAGTCGCGGCAACCGCGGCGATCGCCGCTTCTGAGCGCGACGAGGCCCGCCGAGAGCGCCGCGTGGATCGCCGAAGCCGCCGCAGTGGCCGCCGCCGCCTGCCAGACCCCTTCGCGGGCTCTAGCGAGGAGGGCGCCGGAGCGACGGCGGTCTAGCGGCCCCGCCGGTTCTTCGCCGAGGGGGGCCCCGAGCGTGCGAATTTCCTCGTCGAGCGGAACAAGGCGAGGAGCGGGGCCCGGGGAGCGATCCTCGAGGAGGTCACGCAGTCCACCTTCGAGGAGCACATGTCGAGGGTGCGCGGCCAGGGCTTCGGGCCGCAGTCTGCAGCTGCCCCGCCAGGTGGAGGCGCCGCGGTCGGGGCCGCCCCCCCGACGCCGCGCCCCGTTTGGGGCGCCCGCGGGGCCCGCGGGCTTCTCGACGATGGCGAGGGCTTGGCTCCAGAGTCTGGTCGGGCCGAAGGAGCTGCCAGCAGGCCAGTCGCGGGCGAGCCTGGCGGTCTTCATCCACGAGTGCTGCGCCCCAGATGGAAGAAGCGCGTGAAGACCATGCTGGCGCCTGTCGTTTCTGACGGGTCTACTCCGCGCGACAGTGAGAAGCGACCAGCCAGAGTTGTGCAGATTCTGACCGACCCCGTGTGGCGGCGTCGACCTTCTGACGCGAAGTTCCGCATCTTGTTGGTTCGAGCTTCTTTTGTCAAGGGCGTAGAAAACGCTCCTACCCTGGTTTACGAGGCGCTGTGCGCTGAACCTTCTGTGGGCTGACAGGGTAACCTGCATATCGCGCGTGTCGCGCGGCGTCCTGGCGGTTCTCTGGTCTTTGGGAGCTCCCGGGAGGTTCGCGGACCTCGCACTTGGAACCCAGGGTAGGGTCGTTTTTGCATCCCTCAATGTTGGGTGTATCTTCGCCATCCTCGCCGTCGCCCCCTTCCCCGTGCGACGTGGCCGCGCCGTGCTCCATGCCGGCGCCTCTCGTTTCGTCGGACTTTCCACAGCTTCCAGCAGTAAATACGTTCTACCATTAAATCGGGCCTGTCCCTCTACAGGAGTATTCAAAAATTGCAGAAAAATAGTCAGGGGATTTTTTTTTCAACATTTTTGCCAATTTTGGGGGGTATTGTTAGGGTATTTCTTATTTTTCGTTCAAAGTCCCCCTGTAGGGAGACAGGCCCGACCTGACATTAAATGCGTTCTACCAGACCCAGGGGTTCGGACTCTGTGTGCTTCTCCGCTTTGTTGGGTTTCAGACGTGAGTCATGCAATGCTGAGGGTGATCCGGATGTTTTCGCGCATGTACGTCTGTAATCCGATGATTGAAATAAGGCGACAATTCACCCCCTCTGTGACAGAGGGTGTTAATTTGGAACCCGCACCACCCCCTCTGTGACAGAGGGGGTCGGCATTTCTATCTCACATGTGAGACTCACGTATTTCTAGCTACGAAGGTTCACGTGTGATATCACTGCGCGGCGCCGGCTTCGATGACGACGGGTACTTGGGTGCGCTCGCTTGCCCTCCGACGTTCCAGGAGTGGGTCCGACCAGGAGCCCGCCCTGCGCCGTCTCGACACGCGGGGGGCATGGTGGACCCCTTCTGCACCCCACCGCTCGGAGGCCAGAGTCTCCCAGCAGGCGCTGGGCATCCTGACGTCCCCGCCGAGGCGTGGGGCCAGGAGCAGGCCGCTCTCGCCCCCTCCGCTCGCCGTGCCGCGGCCGCGGTGGTCCAGTGGGCAGTCGGATGCGAAACCTCGGGGATTGCCCTGAGCGAGGTGGTGTCCAGGAGATTGCTGTTGTTTTCCTTTCGTTTTCTCCTCCCGCCCAGAGTTAGGGTCCTCCCTCCCTGTTTTTTTGATCCGATCCTCTGAACATCCCTGAGTCTCCCCCCCGTCCCCATCGTTCTGCGCACGTTTCAGTCCCAGCTGGGGCGTTCTGGCCGTCCACGCGGTGTTCCTGGTGACCAAAGCGGACCGTCCGGCCGAGCTGCAGGAAAGGAAACGTGTCGCCCTCTCTCCTGCCGCGTAGTGTGTCCTCGTTCGCCGCCGCTCGCGGAAGGCGCTCGAATGGGCGACAGGCCACCAGCTAGAGAGGAACGCGTCCAGTTTGCGTCAAGCGCCCTCCGCGGACGCCTGCTGCCCTAGCCCTGCAGTTTTCGGCTCGCGCGATGGCGAAGTGTGGCAGCTGATGGCGCTGCAGCCTCTGCCGCAAGCTCGTGCCCAGCCGCCACCTGTTGAGTTTTAGTGCCGAGCCGTGCACGGGCCTGCCGCCAGCAAGCAGCTTGGCTGCGGCGGCCACTGGGGGGCGAGCCTCGTTCGGTACCTGTCTCCGCCGCGTGGAGCGGCGAGGTTCTCCTTCATGAATCGCGCGTGCTCGCATTCTGGCCAGAATATTGCGAAGGTGCCCCAAAGAGAGTCCTTCGTGCGATGGGGGTGCGAATCTGTGACGCCGCCAGCCGCTTGCCAGGATTTTAGCCCGACGGGGCCCATAGTGCAGCAGCCGCCGGCGAAGACTGATTTGTGTGAGGGCCCGTCGGGTGTATGTTGTGAAGCCTGTATCGGCGCCCGTGCATGTCTGAATCGGGGCTTCGGTGCCTTCCCAGGGGTGCGTTTGCTTCGTTGGGCGTAGCATGGCCTCTCGGGCATGGCCAAAACGTTCTGAAACGTTCCTCCTCCTCTTCCTCCTCCTCTTTCCCCCCTGAAGGAGGGGGGGGCAGGAAGGAGGGAGGGGGGGGGGGGGGGGGGGGGGGAAGGGAGGGGGGCAGACGGGGAAAGGAGGGCAGGTGGACGCCCGTTTCTCCCCCCCCCCCCCCCCCCCCCCCCCCCGCGGCGCCGACTCGAACGCCTGCGGCGGAGGCCGCCGCGCCCGTGGGGCGCTTCTCGGCACCGTCGAGGCCGGCAGCGCCGACGCAGAGCAGCAGGAAAGAAGCAGCCCCGCCGTGCGAGGAGCAAAAAGCTGTGCGCACACATTCAGAGGAGCGTGACGTCGTGATGCTGATGCGCTCCTCGACTTCCAAGGTTTCCAGGGATTCCCAGACTTTTCCTGGCGTTCCACGTGGCCCCCCAAAGCGAGGGCCGCTGGATATGCTGGACATCCCGGAAAGTATCCTGGGTCAACCTCGCCACTACAGTCGGGCCCGGATTAGCGGGTCGACCCTGCCGGCTCAAGGGTACCCTCGTGTCCTTCTGCCTCGCGACCCGTGCCTTCTTGCACTCCTAGGGCGACGTGGCCCTCGGCAGGGTCTCGTGTCCCCTCGCGCGCCCTGTCCAACCGAGTCCGACTGCACAGCATTCTCGTCCGACGCACGGCCAAGACGCTGACCCGAGGACCACATTTGGGCCCAGGGACGGGCTCGGGCTGTCGGGCCGCTCCTCGGCTCCGGGCCGGGGAGCGCCACCGTGGCCGAGGCTCCTCGTGACCAGTGAAGCCCCTTCGCTCCGCTCCTTATGGTAGGACGTTCCATCTCGCAGCCAAAGAACTCCGCGTGGAGCTCCGCAGGCTCATGCCGGAAAAGAATAAGGCATACGCGTAAACTTCCGGAGGTCCGCGCGGATTTCTCGGATCGGCACTGGGCCCTCCCTGGCGGCGCCTCTGGCGCCGCCTCGTCTGGCGCTGCCCCCGGCGCGCTCCGCTGGCCAGGGAGGGGTGTACAGCGCAAGAAATCCGCTCGGACCTCCAACAGTTGATGTTGGTGCCGTTTCATCTTCCTCCCTCCTCCATTATGCTACTGCATTTTTTTTTTTATGTTTGTTTTTTGTTTCTTTCTTATGGCCGCGACAAGACGCGGCGCTCCGCCGCAGCCCAGCCGCACCCCTCGCCGCTCTCTGCCAGCGCCTGCCAACATCCCGCTCGTCCCCGCCGTCCTCGCCCCGCTCTGGCCTCCCTGATCACCCCAGAGCGTCGACGAGTTTCTTGCGTTTTCGGACTCGTGGGTTCTCGGGCGTTTTCCTGCTTCGGGATGCTTCTCAGCGGCTGCGCCTCGTCGAGGGCGTTCCAGGGTTGCCAGAATCCTCGACCCGACAACCTCCCTCCCCCCCCCGCTCCCTCCTCTCTCTCCTCGGCTTCCTCCCTGCTGCCTCCCTCCTCTTGCCTCTTCCTCGTTCCGACCCTCCCCCAGTCCCAGTCTCCTCCCCGCTCACCTCTCGCTGGGGCGGCGCTCCGAGGCGCTGCTCTACGGCTCAAGGTTCTCGGCCTTGTGGCCATCTTCCCTCACGAGACTTTATGTGTGTGTGTGTGTGTCTCTCTCTCTCTGTCTTCCTCTCCCCCTCTCTCTGTCATGGTCAGCTGCCTGTGTGTATATATGTGTATAGGTGCAGATATTGGGCTGTCTATTGTTTGTTTTGTTTATTTGCGTATACACATGGAAATGTTAACCTTCGTGGACACCAAATAGTTTGTTTCTTGCAATACACGTAGTTCAATATATATGGTGCAATCTGTGTGGAGCAACGGTGCAACCTATAGGGTGCAATATGTGTTGTGCAAGTTGGTGTGTGCAATCTATATAGTGTGCAATGTGTGTTGTGCACTCGGTTCTGTGCAATACATATCTATATATACATATATGTTTTTTATATATATATGTATACATACACACATATATATATATTCATATATCTAGATATAATGTGTTGTGCAATATTTTATGTGTTGTGCAATGTTTTATGTGCAACGCATGTTGTGCAATCTACTTGGTGAAACCTATGTTGTGTAATCCCTGTTTAGCGTTGTATTTTGTGCAATGTATGTTTCGCGAAACATGTGGTATAACATATGCGGTACAATCTATACGGTTCAATCGATGTTGCGCAATCTGTTGTGCGTACTATATTTTGTTCAATCTATGTAGTGCAATTCATTTGGTGCAGCTTATATTGCGCAGTCTATGTTGTGCAACATCTTTTATGCAATCTTTGTGATGCACCGCGCGTGAGTGTGTGTGTGTGTGTGTGTGTGTTCGTGATGCGATATTGTGTTTTGTAATGCAGTGTTGTGTGCGTGACGCAATATTGTGTGTGTCGGTTTTTGCAACATCTTTAATGCAATATTTGTGTGTTTTATAATGCAGTGTGTGTGAATGTGTGTGCGTGGCGCAATATTGTAGTGGCCTCCGGCCAGTGCTGCCGATCCGGGGGCGCTCCCGATGCGATCTGGTTGGTGGAAGGGGAGGTGGAGGAGTAGGTGGAGGATGAGGCGGAGGGAGGTGGAGGGATGGATTGCCACACGATGGCCCAAGACGGCCTAAGCGGCCCCCAAGAGGCTTCCACGACGGCCCAAGAGGCTTCCAAGTGGACCTCCAGGAACGCCCGAAGAGGCCCAAACCACTGATTTCCTGTAGGTTTTTGAAGGATTCGGGTGTTTCTTCCTTTTTGGCTTTCCGAAGGCCCAAGACGGCTCAAGAGCCCCCCCCTGGAAAACGGAGCAAAGCGCGTTCCCCCCCCCCCCACCCCCATACCCCGGCAGAGCCACCCCGGCACCCACCCCCCAGCAGAGCAGAAGCTCAGGAACTGAAGCTGAGGCTACATCTAAGGCTCTTTCAAACTCACACGCTGGATCGGCGGATATGTTGTGCGACCTATGTGGTGAAATGTAGGTTGTGCAATCTATGTAGTTCCCTACCTAGGCTCTGCCTAGAAGGGTTCTTACTCTCTGGGCTTAAAAGGGCCGGGCAGTGGAAAGCGCCCTGGGCGGTTCCCCCAGTATCCGCCCCGCGGTTCCCCCAGTTTCGTCCCCTTAGCTTAGCGTCGCTTATCTCATCTTAGCTTAGCTTATTTCATCTTAGCTTAGCTTAGCTTCATCTTAGCTCAGGTTTATCTTAGCTTAGCTTACCTTCATCTTAGCTTCGCTGAGCTTTAGCATAGCATAGCATAGCATAGCGTAGCATAGCATAGCGCAGCATAGCATGGGTGTAATTCCCTACCTAGGCTCTGCCTAGAGGGTTAGCTTAGCTTAGCTTAGCTTAACATGGCGCAGCGCTGCATTCGCATAGCATAGCATAGCATAGCATAACATAGCCAAGCATAGCATAGCATAGCATAGCATAGCATAGCGCAGCATGGCACAGTATAGCATATACTAGCATAGCATAACACAGCGCAGCTTAGCATAGCATAGCACAGCATAGCACAGCATAGCATAGCATAGCTTAGCACAGCACAGCGCAGCATGACATAGCATAGCTTAGCATAGCCAAGCATAGCCAAGCATAGCATAGCATAGCAAAGCATGGCGCAGCATAGCATGGCATAGCATATCATAGCATGGCGCAGCATAGCATGGCATAGCATAGCATAGCATAGCCACTAAGGCTGCTTTCCTAGGGGCTCCAACTTCTAGGTAGGGTCGCACTGGGGTAATGCAATTGATTTTTACCCATGATGTGACACATCTCATGCTCTTGCAAACATCCCACCCACCCACCCGCAACTTGGTTTGCAAAACCTCTTAAGACCGTGACGGTAGGTTCCAAATGGCACTTGGCAACGACACCGGCGCCGACGATGACGACGACAACGCCGACGACTACGACGACACCGACGACGTCTCCGACGACTTCGACGACGACGACAACGACGACGACGACGACACCGACGACGACGACGACGACGCCGACGCCGACGACGACGACGACGACAACGACGACGACGATGACGACGCCGACGACGACGACAACGACGACGACGACGACGTCGACGACGACCACGACGACGACGGTGGCGACGACGACGCCGACGTCGACGACGACGACAACGACGCCGACGCCGACGCCGACGCCGACGTCGACGTCGACGACGACGACGACGTCGCCAACGAAGACGACGACGACGACGAGCGAGGAGGGAGCACGACGACGGCGACAACGACGACAACGACGAGGGAGGAGGGAGGACGGCGACGACGCGAACGACGAAGAAGGAGGGAGGACGGCGACGCCGACGACGACAGCGACGAGGGAGGAGGGCAGACGACGACGACGACGACTTATGGCGACGAAATAGGAGGGACGACGACGAGACGCCGACGACAGACGACGACGACGACGAGGGAGGAGGAAGAAGGACGACCACGGCGACAACGACGACGGGAACGACCACGACGCCAAAGAGGACGACGACGAACACGAGGGAAGACAGAGGACGACGTAGGCGACGACGACGACGACGCGGGAGGAGGGAGGACGGCGACGACGACGACGACGACGCAAGCGCGCGCGCACGCTTTTGTTGAAAATCCGTGTTGCGAAACCTTGTGTTTTCGTAGGTTTTTTGGACACACTATTTTGAAATTCTTCCGAAACCGATGGGTTTTGAAGGTTTTCGGCATACGCGCGCGACGACGCGCGCGTCTGCACTTCGTCATATTTTGTGCAGAGGATTCTCGCGACGGCACACGCGCAAGGGCGTTCGACTGATTTCGACATGCGCGCGCGCGAAGCCCGCTTGGTAGCATTTGGTGAAAAGCTTGAAAAACTATGGTTTTCTTGATATTCCGCAAGAGCTCGCGCGTATAAGCTTCTTTGGCAAATCAGTGTTGCGAAACCCTGTGTTTTTGTATGTTTTCTGACAACTCGACTGCGACATCCTGCCGACACCGAAGGTTTTTTTAAGGATTTCGGCATGCGCGCGCGACGACGCGCGCGTGTGGACTTCGTCAGTTTTTTGGTAAGGGATTCGTGCAACAGTCTTATGTGAGAACAACACATGTCCCCGTTTTTTGTTATATGAATATCTATCTATCTATATATATATATATTAATATATTATTATTATCATTATTATCCAAGGGAACCTCAGGGGGGCGATACCGCCCCCCTGGGATAGGGTAAATTCATATTTCGGATGGACATGTGGTCATAATCATTTATGAGTTACATGCCCGGCAAGGGGGCGGATGACGCTGGGGGGGGGGGGGGGGTAGAGTCAATTCTCTGTTTAGACAAGGACAGTCGATGTTGTGAATCATGTGTCCTGCAATCTCCACATATATATAAAACAGATATGTTGTGCACTTTTTGTTGAGCAAGCTGTGTGTGCACTCTTCTTTTGAGCAACAGATGTGGTACACGATGCTGTTTGGGAAGCAGTTTGTGTTATGCAAAATATATGTGGTGCCATGAATGTCGTACACTATATGTTGTACAGTCTGACGGGGGCGACGAGCGGCGACGGGGCGGCGACGGCGACAACATAGCCGCCAGACCGACACCCAGGCCCAGTTACGGTGAGCGACGAGGCGGCGACTGGGCGGCGACGGCCGCAATATAGCCGCCAGACCGACAGACGGGCACAGTTCCTTAGAAAAAAGGTAAGAACCCCTGAGTGCAAGCACTGCTTGGGGAATCTATCTGGCTGCGTGCGGCAAGCCCGACCACCGTACCAGTGCAGAACTCGGCGCCCAGAAAGCCGTAACACGTGTCACCTGCCGTCTCTATTCCTCGAGAGTCTCATGGGCGTTACCTGGGCCATGTGGGGTTGTCTTGGGGGTCCCGTGGGGCCCTCGTCTGGTCCTGGTGGGTCGTATTGAGATTTTCTCGGCCCGTCTTGGAGCTTTCCTCAGCTTTTCTTGGGTTGTCTCGAGGCCCTCTTGCGGCTGTCCTGGGCCGTCTGGGGTGCGGCTGGAGACCCTCGTTGGGCTCTTCTGGCATCTCTTCGACTCCCTCCCTCCCTCCCTCTTGGTCGTAGCTGGGCTGGGTTTGGCTGGATCGGGACGAGCTGGGCGGGGTTAGGTCGGGTTGGGCTGGGACGGGCTGGGCTGGGACGGGCTGGGCTGGGCAGTGTTGCAGTAGAGGGCCCCCGCCTGGTCGCTGGCGTCGCCTTCCCAGGCCCGCAGCCCCGTGCTACAAATGGGGCCACGCCAAGGGTCTCCGCATGCCGCCGTGCCGGGGGGACACCACCCGTCCATCCATCCATCCATCCAGCCATCCATCCATCCCCCTTCCCCTCTCCTCCTTGATACTCGACCTGAGTTCTAGTCTCCCCTCTCCCCTCCCCAGATCTTTGTGCGAACGAGGCGCCTGTTCTCTCCCGCTTCTTGCTTTTACGCCCAGGATTCCAACACTTGCTTGTCATAGCTTCCCCCACTCAGGACGTCCTCGGTCTTTCAATTCAAAACGGTGCTCGTTCTGCAGCGTTGACCCCATGTCAGGATCGGCGCTTTGCTCTTGTCGTTCATAATGGCGGTCTCTTTTCAGCACGGCCCATATTTATAGACACGATTCCTTCCTCGTCATTGTCGCCCCCCTCATTTCTCGTCTGTCTCCCTCTGGTCCTCCTGGTCTTCCTAGTCCTCGTTCTCCTGCTCCTGCTGCAGCTGTTGCTAATCCCCCGCCATCATCTTCCTCTTCTTCTGCCGCCTCCCCTTCTTCTTCTTCTTCTTCTTCTACCCTTCTTCTTCTCCTCCTCCTGCTCCTCCTCTTTCTCCTCACCGTCCTTTCAGTCCTCCTCCCCCGACGTCCCTCCTCCCTCCCCGTCGCCTCCGCGGCCTCTTCGGCTCCGCCGCCCCGGGTCTCGTGGGCCTTGAGGTAACCGCCCAGAACGTGGCTCGCCAGCCATGGCCGCCAGCGCCGAGGCCCCCCTTGAGGACCTCGGGGAGGTCGGCGGGAGGAAGAGGAGGAAGATCAGGAGGAGGAGGAGCAGGAGGAGGAGGAGGAGCAGGAGGAGCAGGAGGAGCAGGAGGAGGAGGTTGAGGAGGATCAGGAGGAGGAGGAGGAGGAGGAGGAGGAGGAGGAGGAGGAGGAGGAGGAGGAGGAGGAGGAGCAGGAGCAGGAGCAGGAAAAGGAGGAGGAGGAGGAGGAGGAGGAGGAGGAGGAGGAGGAGGAGGAGGAGAGTTCGAGGAGGGCGAGGTGCAGTTGCGCAGCGTGGCTGAGAGGGTTGCCTGCCGTCTCTGCGACTTTGGGATGGCAGATGGGAGGCCCTACTCTGGGACGCATCTGTGGTCACCACAGTCGCAGCCGGCCCCAACACCATGTGCACGACGGTGCGGAAGGTCCGCCGGCTACTGCTGAAAGGTGAGATCTCCCAGGCTGCCTCTGCAGCGTTGGGTCTTGGCCGGCGGGCTACAGCTGCGGATACGCTCTGGGCGTTCGGGCAGCAGTACCACCCGCCGCAGCGGGATTCACAGTACGACCCCTGGAGGGCGCCTGACCCCGCGGCGGCCGCACGGCTCCGAGAAGACGTCCAGGCTTGCTTGACGAAGACGTGGACCAAGACACCCTGAGACGCTGGCGCGGGGGTGCAGGGCGACCGTTTTGAGCACACGCAGCCGCTCGCGCACCTCGAGGCACGTGGCGCGGCCATAGCGGCAGTGCTCTCGCTGCTCTTGGGGGGCGCCGTCCCCGCGGAGGCCCTAGACGTGGCTCTGGCAGGCAAGCTGTTCGACACAGCCAAGGAGGACGGCGGCACGACAGTGTTAGCATGCGGGGCCAACGCGCAGCGCATGGTGGCCAGGGCCATGTGCACCGTCCGTTCCGACAGTGTTCAGAGGGTTGTTTCCGAGCTCCTGTATGGGGTCGGTGTCCCGTGTGGGCTTGAGACGCTGCACAAGAGCATCTCCGCTGATGCAGAGCAAGCAATGCCCAGACTTGGCCTTCGTGTCGCTGGACCTCAAGAGCGCGTTCACCCGTTTGCGTCGGAGGACGGTGCTGCGCCGCATGCGGGGGCGCCGCCTGGAGCTGGAGGGCCTTGTGGTACAGTGGTACGGCCGCGCGACGGTGCACTCAACTGCGGGGGCCGGCGGGGTGTCCCTCTTGGTGGAGCAGGACGAGGGCCTCGACCAAGGATGCCTCCTCAACCCGGCGCTTTTTAGCATCGTGGAGGAGGAGGAGGAAGAGGAGGAGGAGGAGGAGGAGGAGGAGGAGGAGGAGGAGGAGGAGGAGGAGGAGGAGGAGGAGGAGGAGGAGGAGGAGGAGGAGGAGGAGAGGAGGAGGAGAGGAGGAGGAGGAGGAGGAGGAGGAGGAGGAGGAGGAGGAGGAGGAGGGAGGAGGAGGGAGGAGGAGGAGGAGGAGGAGGAGGAGGAGGAGGGGGAGGGGGAGGAGGAGAGGAGGGAGGAGGAGGAGGAGGAGGAGGAGGAGGAGGAGGAGGAGGAGGAGGAGGAGGAGGAGGAGGAGGAGGAGGAGGAGGAGGAGGAGGAGGAGGAGGAGGAGGAGGAGGAGGAGGAGGAGGAGGAGGAGGAGGAGGAGGAGGAGGAGGAGGAGAGGAGGCGGAGGGGAGGAGGAGGAGGGGGGAGGATCGTGGAGGGAGGAGGCCTCAGGAGGACCCTTGCCCTCGCCCGCTTCTCCGCCCTTTTCATCCCGAGGACGCCGCGCTGGAGGCCGTGGCTGTCTTCCTGCGCGGCTCGGGGTACGCTGGGGCCGCCGCCTCGCTGGACGCCGCGCGGCGCGACCGAGCGGCAGGCCTGGCCTCGGTCCACCGCGTCGTCGTCTTCGTCATCGTCCTCGTTCTCGTCCTCGTCCTCCTCCTCCTGCTCCTCCTTCTCCTGCTCTTCCTCTTCCTCCTCATCCTCCTCCTTTTTCTCCTCATCTTCCTTGTCTACCTCCTGCTGCTGCTGCTGCGTCACCGGGGGTCCCGAGTCCAGAGGGCCCCCCCTAAAGCTGGCGAGCGCGGGCGCGCGCCGCCCGCGCGCCCGCGCGCCCGCCGCCGTCGCCATGCTGCCGCCGCCGCCGGGCGTCCCCGCAGCCTGGCCGCGGCGCGCCCGCGGCCCGCGCCCTGCCGCCGCTGCCGCCTGGCACCCCCGCGGCCCAGCCGCAGTCGCCCCGCGGCACAGCGGCGGCCAGCTGCCGCAGCAGCCAGGCGAAGCAGCAGCCAGCCGCCGCCGCCGCCGCACGGCGCCATCCCGCCGCCGCGGCTGCGCCTGTAAACCCTGTCGCCAAGCAGCGCCCCGCCGCCGCCATCCCTGCTCCCCTGGGAGCTCCCTGCTTCAAAAGTTCTTACGGAGCTAGCCCAAGGGACTCACACCGAGTATGCCGGATGTAAATTTCACAGGGGAATAGACAAGCGGAAAACAGTTAGGTGGGGTTCACACTTGATGAAGTCGCGGAGTTCGACCCATGCTGTGGTGGCATTATCGTCTGGAGAAACAGAATAGTACGGAATGGTGAAGGGTGGATTGATAGTGTTCTTACTACAGTGGCGTTAAAGATCGATGCGAGCGCGGCCATTGCCATTCCAAGCCGGAGAAGGCTAAGAGAAGTCAGACACTGGTTGCAAGAGAAGGTACGGCCAGGAAACATCACATTGAAAAAGGGGAATTTGCCAATGAGAATATTGCAGTTGCTTCGACCAAGTATCCGAGCAGTGACGACATGTCCATGCATGCGGGGTGCCAATCGATTTAACTGGGGGAAACAAGTTGGCACCTGCTACAGAGTGTTTCGCGCGCCATGTGGCTAGGGATTTGAGTTCAGGATCAGTTGACATCCAGGTGCTGGTTCACACCACATGATTGGGTGTTATGCGACATTGAAACTTCGTGTGTCGCGTGTTAAGGAGCCCATGCGCGTTTACGCCCAAACCGTAATCGCTTTCTGCCTGCACCAGTAATGTTTCGGTTGATTTGGTTCACACCCTGATTGGCCTGGATAGAGTCCACGCTTTCATGTACTTGCCTCCAGGCTTGTCCATTACCCCGTCGTTTCGGCAACTTCTTTTCACCCGTTTCCACAGTCGGCTTCTCAGCCGAACGGGGTGTTAGTTTGCAGCTCTCTGACTGGGTGAACATGATAGGCCAGCATGATTTTATTATTTGTATAGCAGCCGCGTCACGCCATGGGGGGGCACGTTTGGTTAATCGCTGCCTGGGCATATTTCCGCAAGTGTTTGGCTCAACTACCATTCGTTTTCTCGTAACACACGGTCCTGCCAAATTAGCAGGAGGAGGAAGAGGAGGAGGAGGAAAACATTTGGGAGAGACTGCGGGGGGAGAGACGGGGGGGGCGGGCAAATTCCGTCGGAAGGTCAAGCACACTTTCCTTGATACATTTCCCATCCACAAACATTCCTGCCTCATTCCGCGGGGGCGCCGCGCTGTCCGCTGAGCTCCTCGCCATGCTCGCGTTGCCGTTGGCCGCGTTACCTCTTCGCCGCGAGCCCGGATTTGAGTGCGCGGGTGCGCTTCGCGGCCCCAGCGGCAATGCGGTGATGGCCCAGTGCTCTTCCCAGTGCTCTGTCTCCCCGTTCTCCACGTCTTCCTTTCTCTCTTCCTTCTCCTCCTTCTTCTCCACCGCGTTCCGCCTCCATTCCTTGTCTTTATAGATAGCTGCCCCATGTCGCGCCCCGACGTCGGTCGAAAATGCGGGCCTGGCGTTTCGCCGGAGATTTCTTTCCCATTGATGACCTTGAAGTTAGAAGATGGGCAGCAGTTCCACAGATGGAGAGCGGGCCGTTTCCAAAATGCGGCTCTCGCTTTGGCGCCGAGCACAGCTTCGCGGATGGAGG